AATTGTCAAGAAATTTAACTTCAGTTAAAATAAAATTGTCTAAGAGCTTAAAATTTAGTTAAAATATTAATTTAGTCTCTTAATTTTTAAATTTGTATTAAAATTATCTTTTAACTTTAAAAAGTACTAAAATTATTTCTGAATTTTAATTTTGGGTATCAAAACAATTCTTGAATTTTGAATACAAGTATTAATTTAATTTTTAAATTTTGAAAATAAGTATTAACTTAATCCTTAAATTTTGATTATAAATACTAATTTAATTTTTTAATTTTAATTTCACGTTAATTAGGTGTGTAAATAAAAATATATCATAATAATAAAATATAACTACATAATTTTACATATCATTAGCATTTTAAAAAAGAATTAATTATGTGACATAATAATAAGTCACGTGATACTTTTGTTAATCGAAAGATTATTTTGGTATAGAAAGTTAAAATCAAAGAATAATTTTGATATTTTTAAAAGTTAAAAGATAATTTTAGTATAAATCTAAAAGTTAAGGGACCGAATTGTATTTTAACCTAAAATTTTCTGTAAGAGATCTAAAACTCGTATCCTCGAATGAATGAATAGGTTAAAATTTTTGGGAAAAAAAAAAAGGGCTATTACCGATCATTCCACATACAAAAATATAACATTTTATACATGAGATCAGGTAATTATCAAAAAAAAAAAAGGGGTCCGGAGATTGACAGCATGACATGCTAGCACACTAGGCCATTTTTGTACCCCTTCCGTACCACTAAGAAGAGGCACATAGGTAATGTTTGGGCATGATTGGGACGTTTCAGAAGAGGCTCGATTCCGTAGTTGCTCAGACCTAGACCGTGACTCGAGTTTGGTTTATTGCAACACTGCCGTAAAGTTAGTTCACTTTTGACAATGGTGAATTTTGAAAATTTTGACCTCGGGGAAACCACTTTCAAAGCGAGTTACTCACTGGCCAATCCCAATTCAAACCGAATCACTACTTAAGCGCTTGAAGCTTAAATCAAGTCTCAAGCCGCTAGTGACCGGGGTCATGCCTCAAGTAATCCTAAACTTATGCACATCTCATGGGCTTGAAAGCATGATAGATGTCAAGGGTGGCTTGAGAGTGACTTAAGATTAGGGTGACTCAATAAGGACTAGGTTTTGGGACTTATTTGATATAATGAATTGGAAATAATAGTTAGTGGTTTCGTCCAAATTGTTATAAGATAGATATTTACTTAAATAAATTTATTTTTTCCTAAATCTCTAAAAATTATATATTTGATAAAATTTTTTATTTAGAGATTTAAGATTAGTGGATGATAGTTTGGAATTAGCGAATAATAGTTTAAAATTAATGGATAATAGTTTAGAATTAATGGCTAGCAGTTAGATTCCAAACTGCTAATAGATTGAAAAAGTTATTTTAAGAAGTTTTCTATATTAAACCATTACTGGTTGATTAAAATTTTTAAATTTTATTGATGAATTAAACTATTTTAATTTTCAATATTTTGCCATATCCTTTAATAACTAATTATTTAATTGATTTCAACTTCATTTTTTTTAGTAATATTAAGTGATTATTATATTTTATTTTTTATATTAACTTATCATCAAAAAATTGATATTAATTTAATAAACAAAATTTGTTAGTATACTAATAAAATAAAATTTGCTAATTAGCCAAAATAATTAAAAGTGTTGTTTAATTAAAAACAATATAATTTTATTGTTAAAAATAGAAATAGAAACAAGTATGTGATTCACATTTTTATATTTTATTTTATTATTTTTATTTTTATAAAATTAATAATTTTAATAATAGAAAATATAAAAAGAAAAAAAATACATTAAATTACTTTTAAACTTATTCTTATTAGTCATTTAACATCAAATAATAAATGTTAATTATTATATAGCCAAATGATTATGTCACGCCCCAGAACTCAAATCCGAGGTAATTATTATTTATTTTTAATAATTAAATTAAATTAAATTAATATTTTTAAAATTATTATTGTGTAACCTTAACATTATTTAATTTGGTGTGGCC